TTATAAACCAATCTTCCCTTTCTACTCTCAATGATGGCTCCCCTACACACTTCACAACACATCACACATTCACAAACATCGATCTCACCATAGCATCCCACGACCTCGCTCTATACATAAAATGGAACATAAGCAATTATCTCTCAGGAAGCGACCACTTCCCCATCCACTTAACAATATTCCAAGAAAATAGACCAAGTAAACCCACCTTCAAAACCAAATTTAATTTAAACAAAGCCAACTGGTCACTGTTTCAAAAACTCACAGACAAATACTCAAATGTAAAACAACCCAGCCAACAAATTAAACAAGAAACAGCAAACATAGTCAGAATAATTTTACAAAGTGCATATCAATCCATTCCACAGAGACACATATTATCATGCAAGAGAGGTCCCATGGTGGGACAAATCTCTACAACAGCTCAAAAATAAGAAAAATGCAGCCTGGTTGAGGCTTACTCAACAGGAATATTAGTACGGAAAACATCCTTACCTACAAAAAATCTAATGCCAAGCTCAAGCGTGAGCTCAAAATTAAAAAACGTAACGCAGAAATAAATCCGTCCACTCCCACATCGAAAATTTGGTCCAACATCAACAGATTTGGTGGCCTAAATACCCTTCACGATATCCACTGCCTTGTCAATCCGTACAACTCCACACAAAAAATAGTAAACAAAACCGAAATAGCCAATACTTTATGCGAACATTGGTCAACCGCATCCTCAGATAACAACTTCCATCCAGAATTTAGATACCACAAAACAAACTCCTGCCATACTATAAGCCACACCCCATCACCCGTAGCCATGAAACTTGAAAACGATGTGACTCTTCTTGAGCTTAAAGCCGCACTTAATCAACTTAAAGGGAAAACACCTGGGAGAGATCGTATTAGCTACCCCATGCTTAAAAATTTGTCCCCCGCCGTTGAAAGACGACTACTCAATCTATTTAATGATATTCTAAATGGGCATATCATTCAACAATTTAAAATCAGCAGCGTCATATCCATACTAAAACCTAACACTGATAAAACCTCTATAAACTCTTACCGCCCAATATCACTAAACTCCTGCATTTCAAAAGTACTCGATAAAATTGTATCCAACCGACTTTGGTGGCTAGCTACTAACAGCCAGCTACTCGACAGCCGGCAAATGGGTTTCCGAAAGGGAAAATCGGTGTCTGACCCACTAGCCATGCTAGATTTTCAGATCACCTCGGCCCTTTCGACCAAAAATCATCTATCTGTGATCTCATTAGACTTTGCTAAAGCATTCGATAGAGTGGGAATCCACACAATAGTCGACGAACTCACCACATGGAAAATAGGACCAAAGATAATGAAATACGTAATAAACTTAACAAAACGAAAAATAATAGTCCAAACATATAATGCCCGCTCCACAACAAAACCGCTAATAAACGGAATACCACAGGGATCACCATTATCAGTAATTCTCTTCTCAATAGCATTCAATAAATTAAACAAAACAATAGCCATACACAAAACATTTCACTTTTCCGCTTACGCTGACGATTGCAATCCAACAACTTCACATTAAAAAATGAAAACTATCTGAAAATACTAGGAGTCACATTCACAAAAAACTACAAATGGAATCTACACATAGAAAACCTCGCACTATAACTCACAAACAGACTCAAAATTATTAAATGCCTATCAAGCAAAATATTTAACTGCCACACCACCATACTAATAAACATAATAAAATCGCTGATATTATTCACAACGTCGACGGAAACCATCACCTACCAACAACTTCCCCACTTCTCCTCCATTTTTACAGCAGAAATCTCAGCCATACTCGCAGCATGCAAAGTATGCAGCCAAACAAACTGGTAAATTCGCAATCTGTTCCAACTCCATATCCTCTTTAATAGCAATAGACAATATTAATAACCAAAACTACTACTCAACTACAATAAGAAATATCTTGAGTTCATACAAAAACAAATTTCTACTCATCTGGGTACCAGGACACTGTCAAATATTGGGAAACGAAATGGCAGATAAAATCGCAAAAAATGCTCTTAAACACCCACTTAAAACAGAACAGAAATTCAACGCATCAGACATACGAAAATAAATCAAACGGGAACTGAATAACCACAGCACCACGCTTTGGAACCACACCTCCCAACATTATAAGATTGTCAACCCTGAGAAAACTACAAACAACAATATACCAAGCCCGAATTTATCACGACTAGACACAATAAAACTTATGCGACTCCGACTCCGACACACGAACCTTACCCACAGCTTTATCCTAAATAAATCCCCACCACCCACATGCCCAAATTGCAACACCACAATAACCATCAACCACATACTTCTAGAGTGTACCAAACAGCAACAAGAAAGAACCAAATTCTTGGAAACAACAATAGAAAAAATTACTTCACCCAAAAACATTTATCAAACAATTGCTTTCCTTAAATCTGCGAATCCCTACAACCTGATATACAACAAATAAAAATAAGAAACGTAAATAAATCTAGACTTAAGTAAACACATTGTAAATAAGTTGACACTGATAAGCTTAAGGCCTTAGCTGCTATAGCTTAAATCACAAGCTGCTTGCAATTTACAATTGTAAGTGGAATTAACAATAATAATAATAATATTTTTAGTGAAGCCATTTAAGTAGATTTCTGTTTGATTAGCAATTCCAGAAAGAGATTTTGATTGCGCATAATATCCTCCATCTACAACAAACGATGGATGGATTGCTACCATTGTATTTGTTAGAGTTGCCAGAATTGATTTAATACCACTATGGAATTGGGATGGATTTGCAGTGGTCTGTTGGGTAGTAGTTTCTGGCCCCTGTTGCGATGTCTGACGATTCATTATTCCTGCAGTGGTTTGTTTAGAGACTGAGGCGTACGCCTCGTTGGTGTAACTTAACGCCTTACCAAAAGATACTCCAGGAATCGTAGTTGATGGTATGTACGGCAAGTTTTGTCGGATGACTGGATTTCGAGCTGCTGATTTTTATTGGCTTAGGCGACTTTTTAACTCTTTGTATATAGGGCAACCTCTATAGTTGGCAGTGTGGTTTCCCCTACAGTTTCTACATTTTTTTTTTAGCAGAGGAGTCCTCCTTATTTACAGGGCAGGCCCCATTGAGATATACATCCCCGCATGCAACACAGACTGCGCGTCGGGTATAATAGGTTTTTGGGTGTCCATATTCCTGGCAGTTTGTGCATTGGACAGGTCCATTTCGTTTGTGCGGTTCCTAATCGGTGATTTTACGGTGCAGTAGATATTGCAACTTGTAAATTGGGTGAACTTTGTTTTTATTTATAGGCATACAGTCAGGTGTCACTTCTCCCTTGAATATTGGTTGGGGAATTTTATTTCTATTTTTTATGTTCATGGCCATTGTGACTTCAAATCCCTTATCTTTAAGTCCATCTTTCATCTCGCTGACTGGAACTGTTGGCTCGATTCCTTTGATAACCACTTGTAATCCCTTACTACTTTAAAGTTGGTAGGTGTAGTAGTTCATCTTTTTATCGTCTAGGTATTTGGCCACTGATCGATAGTTATTTTCGTCATTGACTTGTATTTTAGTTTCATTTATGCTACCCCTTTTTATAGACTTAACATAGAATTTGTTTTCGCCGATTTTGGTAGTGAGTGAGTAGTGAGTTTTTAACTGATTCTGTACAATTTGCCTGACGCACGTAAATAGGTGGCGGCTTTAGTTCCTTGGTCTTAGCTGTTTCGGCGTTATCTTCTTCAGGTAAACTGAGAATCGCGAATATATTGTTTTTCAGCGCCTCAGTTGGCAAAGTGTTGTTTTACTTTTTTAGTTATTTTGGATGCGTTGTTTTTCTTAGTTGCTTGTGGGCTTAGTTTTCGTTTAATTTGCACATAGCGATCGAGCCCAGTCTGTATTAACGCTCTGCTTGCCCCCTGCGTACTTTTCGGTTGAGAGAGGGGAAGCTGGTCGCACTGTTGACAATACCGGGCGCTGGGAAACTGCCGTTGTTGTAGTTGTCGTTATTGAATTCGAAGACACAGTTGTAAGCGAAGGCAATGTGCTGGTCGTTGTTATCAGTAGCTCGTTGGTAAGAGAGAGCGTCCTCCCTCCGAGTCAGCTTGCAGTGATGCAGTTGTTTCTGGTACCGTTACCTCGGGTCAGCGTATAGTGAAGTACGCGTTGTTGTTACGAACTGCCGAGCACGAGTTTTGCTCATTTTTACTTTGTTGTTTACCGAGCTTGTGCTCTGACCCTTTGGCATTGCTTCCTTTTTTTAAACAAGATTCAGCTTTTTCACAAATAAATTTATATGGGTAACACGAGCACAGGTGCTCATGCATACCCTAAGCATCTTTTCGCGAATTAAATTGGCGTTAATTGCACTTTAATTTTGTTACACGGCGGAGCGATAAAAGAATACGTCAGACATTTACGAACGTTCACGTTAAGAAATAATCATAATAATGTAGATACATACATGCATATTCATATGCATGTATGCTTATTTATATGTTGTATAGTTGCATAAGTTCTCGCCAAATTGTACAGCTTTTAATCATACTACATAAATATACATACATATGTATGTATGTACGTATAACCATACACAGTATGTATTGTACTATATGCCCAAGCTCTCGGAACGTGACAAAGAAATTAGCTATTTGGTAGCACCTTGAGAAACTTTCGAGAGTGTCGGAAGTGAAATTGGACATTGTAAATAAACTTATAATTGTAAGCAAAAATACTTAGCCTAGCAAAGAAGGGCAAGACCTGCTAATTTCTATATAATTCTCTACTTTTAAATAAAAATGTGTCAACTCTAAGGACACAATTTGCATCATCAATTTGTTCTGGTTATTACCTGTTTTGCTATGCGTACATATAAGACGGATGATCGATTAAGTATAGGGTATTTGACAGTGGGCTATGTTGGACTGTAACATTCTACCTTGTTTAAAAAATACATACTCACATCATTACTAGTATTTTCCGGGTCATATGTTTCTTGATCATCTTCGAATAGGTCATACACTTTATCTTTTTTGCTATTCAAAATTATTGGCTTAGATCTATTTTCATTGGGCAATTTAGAATTTCTGATATGTCCATGTCTTTTATTAAGCCCACTTAAGTTTGTAAGTCTGCAACAAAACAAGAAATTAAACATATTATCATCATTGCAATCTATTTCTATGTACCAACCTTTCAATTTCTTTATCGGTATCATCATCAAGTGGTTGACGTATTTTAGATTCTTTATTTCCATTATCGCTTTCACTAGACGACTGGCGATATTTATTATTTATGATATCTAGCTTAATATATTTAGAAAGATCAATGTTATCCATATACTCTTGTATAATGGAGTTTTTTTTATCAATCTTGGGTCGAAAACGTGCTCGTATCGTTAAAGCTGAGGCGGAATGGCTGTTTTCAGCTGATGATATTCTCATAGCGCTTTCTTCATTGCTGCTTGTGGATTCCAAATTGGATGATTTATGTATATCATGAAGAATACTTCGTTCATTCAAGCTTTGGTGGCGTTTTTTAGCAAATGTGTTTGAATTGGTTTTCTGTCCTAGTTTAGCTATAGCTTTAAGTTTTCGTAATTTTTTGATTACAAATTTTTGGAAGTCACCATCTGGCTTTGAAAGATATGCGTTGCATTCTTTGTACAATTCCTTTGCAAAATCCATAGTGCATTTTAAAATTGGTTTTGAGTAAATTTCAATTTCGCTTATGTTTTTGTATAGATTTTCAAAATACTCATCATAAGTTTCAACCTCCAGGGGTTCTGAGCAGTTTTCCGGATATGAAGTACTGTCATTGTATTGCAATGTATTTAAGCTACTTAAAGAAAGATTGCGACCGGATGGAGTTGGTTCCAATATCTCACCTGCCTGAGCATTTAGCTGTGGTACATCGTTCAAATCAGCTAAAAATTTACATTTTTTTGTTTTTGAGATTTCTGACTGGAGCACTCTTATATTGTCCATGGTGCTATCAATAAAATTTGATATTTTAGGTGGAATAGTTTGCAGCGAAGTACCATTTGGAATTATTTGTTCCAAAAGTATGTCTTGCAACTTCGTTCGATCTATAAGCTCCTGAGACGTATAATTATGATCACTTAATACGTTTGACAATTGCGGTGAATGTAAATTTACACTTTCTTCTTCTGCAACGACAACATCAGTGTATTTAAGCAAGTCTCTGGAAGTAATATTATCCATATTTGGATGAGTGCTGCTCTCAAAACTTGTTTGTACTTCAATTTGAAATAGGTGGTCCATCGGCGTTTGCAAAAATGTGGTTTCAGTTATTTTTTCCAGTTCCAATGTTATTTCGCTCTTAACGAAGGGGGCCTCAACAGATTTTCTGCTAGATTCACTTAAAGTTCGCTCCCGACACTTTACTTCATTCTTTGTATAAGGTTCGGAGTGTTTGTGCATGTTTGACAATTGGGATGCTGATGCTTCTGTAAAACAATTCATTACAATATAGGCTTATTAAACCAATAATCTTAATGCAGTTTCAGTATAGATAATGAAAAATCCCCCTGTCGTACAATACAAACGAAATTTGAGCAGAACAAAATTTCACGTTCCAATTTGGAAAATAATATATTAGACCGCAAGCTGATAAACAAAGATAACCTATTAGAGATGAGAAATAAACAGTATGACTACTTTTCACGAGTACGGCCATGACACATATCACAGCAGTGACAAAATATCACCAAGCTAGGTACTTAAGTGACGGAGTGCTATTTTTGTCAGTATCTAATCATTTTTTCATGGATAATTGGTACTTTTATTAAAATCAGGGGCGCCACAGAAATTTCTTCCGCCCAAGTTTCACTTCAAACCCAATTCAGGGTGCAATAGAAATCTCTATTGAGATCTCTATTTCAAATCTCGTATGTTTTGACAGGAGATTTGATTAAAATCATTAATAAATATATTTTTCGACATAAAAAGATCATTGGAATATAAACCTTATAGTTTTTCTGAACAATCTGCATCAAAAATATTTTGTATATCCCATGTAAATATTTTTATCCCCTATACCCGTAAGGTAAAAGCGTGTATTGGGTTTGTAACAGGCAGAAGGAAGCACCTCCGAACCCATAAATTATACAGTGACGAACAAAATTATTGGCACAGTTGACATGTCTGACTTTCGCACAGTGTTTCTCCATGAAATATGGTGATATTTAAATAAAACAAATTTTATTCATATACATTGATCAATTTCCTACTAAAATTACTTTATTTCATTCATTTATATTTTTCCATTAATTTAAGAAAATTAAAAATGTAAAAAAATAGCCGTTTTCGCCTGAACATTTGTACATTTGTACATACATACATACATACATATATTATGACGAGAGTAGTCGATCTAGACATGTCCGTCCGTCAGGATGAACGCCTGGATTTCGGAAACGGTGATCGCACATTAACTGAACTTGGTATATAGAGGCTCCTAGTCCCCAGTCTATACGGGTTTATTTTATTTTTTTGATTTTACCACCCTCCCCCCGCTTTAAAATTTCGCTAATACTGACCACATTTCAAAAGCGACATAAACAAAACTTCGCGCTCATAATACACAAATATCTACTTTGGCTTTCACCTAAATCGACTAATTATAATAAAAGTTATTATGAAACTATTTGACTACGCCCACAAGTTGCATCATTAAGTTCGCTCTTCTTTTTGTTTCTGCTAAGGGCACAAATAACTCAGTGACGGAAGATAAGCTGGGTACAGGGTATTTAACTGCCGTACGCCCGAAATCAGTCAAACTTGTTTTTAAACTTATGAATAAACTAATTTAAACATTTTTTATAATTATATCCTGTACCCAAAGGGTAAAAAAGTATACTAGATTTGTGCGAATGTTTGTAACACACAGAAGGACGCGTAACTCTTCTGTATGTATTGATTTTTTTTATTTAATTAAATTAATTAATTAATTAAATTTTTTATTAATATTTTTTTTAAGGGTATTTTATTGTCGGACTTGCTCGACTGTAGTCTTCTCTCTTGTTATACTCTGTATATGAAATGTACTAGAGTATATTAGGTTTGCGCGAGGTGAAAAATGTAACAGGCAGAAGGAGGCGTGGCAGACTCCACAAAGTATATATACTTGTATTCTTGATCAGCATGACAAGACGAGTCGATCTATGTATGTCTGTCTGACAGAATGTTAAAGTTGAGCAAGCTCAACTCTTAAATAACCTGTACCTCCTACCAAAAAGAAAAAAATGAAAAAAAAATTTTTTTTTAAAATAATTAAAAAGATTGTTGCGACGCGAATGAGTATATGACATCTCATCAACGCGACTCAAAATAAAATAGCTTAGCAACACATATCTCTATATATATAAAACAGTTTGTCCTGACTGACTGACTGACTGACTGACTGATTGGCAATCAACGCACAGCCCAAACGGTAAGAGCTAGGAAGCTGAAATTTGGACACAAGATCCCTCTTATAGTGAAAGTGAGCACTAAGAAGGGGTTTCGGAAAATTCGAGCTCCAAAGGGGGGAAAACGAGCTCCAACGTTTGTATGAAAAATCTACAATTTTTATCCGATTAACTTCAAACTTAGTTTGTATACTCTCACAAAGAATACAAAAAAAAACTGTATACTTGGATTTTCAATATTTTTCCTGCGGCCTGAATAATAATGATTTTCCGGTGGAAAATTCGGTAAACGAAAAGCTATGTGCAATCAACGCACAGCCCAAACGGTTAGAGCTAGGAGGCTGAAAATTGGACACATGTTGTCTTCAGTGGTGTAGGTGAGCACTAAGAAGCGGTTTTGGAAAATTCGAACGCCAAAGGGGGGAAAACGGGCTCCAACGTTTGTATGAAAAATCTACAATTTTCATCCAATTAACTTCAAACTTAGTTTGTATACTCTCAAAAAGAATACAAGAAAAACTGTATACTTGGTTTTTCACCATTTCTCCTGGGGCATGAAAAAGGGGGGGTTTTCCGTGGAAAAATTGAAACACAATCAGCACCCCACAGCCCAAACGGTAAAAGCTAGGAAACTGAAAACTGGGCTCAAGTATCCTATCATGGTGTAGATGCGCACTAAGAAGGGATTTTGGAAAATTCGAGCTCCAAAGAGGGGAAAAGTAGCTCCAAAGTTTGTTTGAAAATTCTGCATTTCTGAATCGATCAACTTTAAATTTGGTTTTTATAATCTATAAAAGAATACAAACAAAACTGCATACTCGGTTTTTCGAAATTTGTGTTGGAGCTTAAATTATTGGGGTTTTAATATTTATTCATTTTTTCAAATGAAAAGTTTGTGTTATAAATTTTGTCCGACCGATTTCAAATTTGGGTAATATAATCTACGTAACTAAAATTACAACTTTGCATTTAACGATTTTTAAAATATGCATTTTACAAATGCAGGCAGAACAAACAATACAAAATATCAAACAGTTGGGGACAACTAAGTATACATACACACACACACACACATACATAAGCAGCTGTTCGTGTAGTTGCGTGCAAACGGTTGAAGTAGCCAAAGCAAAATGTGAGACACTAATGTGTGAATATTCATTTGTACAAATGTATGTACATATATACATACATACATATGTATAAAAGTACATTCGTCTTGCACTGACAGGGCAAGAAATGTTAATTAATTAAAAATTATTAACATTATAACATAAACATTTTTATGTTATTTTTTCTTTGTTTAGTACATTTGGCATAAGGGATTTTTAGGACAACGGACTACAAGGGCGTACGCAGGTTGGGCAGGGGGGACATTTCTCCCCTTAGAAAGAATTTCGCATTATGAATTACACCAGCACCATATGTATTACATACGTACATACATATATACATACGTCTGTATGTATAGTATGTACATATGTACATCAATAAGTATGTATGTACATACATACATTCTTATATACATATATAGGTTTGTATGTATGCAGTGGGCCATCGAACACTGTTGTTTAATTGTAATAAATAGTGTTCTATGTTTTCAAATCAAAATTTTTAAAACAACAAAACTTCTTTCGTTTTGATAATTTACGGCTGTTAATTGCATACGAAAAATGCCAAAAGTTTACAGTTACCGTACACACACAAATACATTTGTATGTATGTATGTACATATGTGTACAGTGACCAATCGAATACAGTATTATAATCAATAACTCTCAAACGATGTTTTTCGATGTATTTGTATTCGACATGTATTACGATATATCAACACAAGTATCGATATTTTCGATATATCGCATTTAATTTTATTATTGGGGTTTTAATATTTATTCACTTTTTCAAATGAATAGTTTGTGTTATAAATTTTGTCCGATCGATTTCAAATTTGGGTAATGTAATCAACATAACTATATCAACAAATTGGCATTAAACGATTAAAATATAGCAATATGTTTTTTACTTGCCATATATCAAATATCAAATAGTTGGGGACATCGCATACACACACTCACACATACATACAACAAGCAACAGTTCGTGTCTATGTGTGCCCATGCATACATACATATGTACATGCATATGCATGTATGCCTGTATATGTATGAAGCATGTACATACAAAACAACAACAACAACTTGAAGTTGTTGGCTCGCACATCTTCTTTCGTTTTGACCATTTAATGTTAATTGCAAAGGCAAAACGCCAAAAGTTTACAGTTACCATCGCTAGGCAACGACTGCGTAAGCGATAGTAAAGCAGAAACCGAATAACGGAGCTACGCATATTCTGCTTCGCATTGCGGGCAGATGTATGTATGTATATGATTTGTTCTTATCGATCTCAATAAATAATTAGATTTTATTATTTAAATATTCTGCTTATTGCATTCAAACTTCGATATTTTGATGGTATCGGTGGTTTCAACTATCGAAAGTTTTACTCTAGCAAATTGAGATGAGAATTGTCAGTGCTTTTTGATCGTGGCTCATCGCTGCACGGCATTGACACGAGTGCCGTGTTTCATATTCCGAGTTTGTGCGTGACCGTATTGACTCAATATGGCACGAAAACACTCAAATGTGATTTTAAAATTAGGATATACCCTTATAATTATTCCCCTTTTTTGCACATAGTCTATCTTAAAACGTTGCGTTATCTCTATATATAAAACAGTTTGTCCTGACTAATTGGTGATCAACGCACAGCCCAAACGGTAGAAGATGAAATTTGGACTCAAGTATCCTTTCATAGTATCCATCATAGTGTAAGAGCACACTAAGAAAGGCTTTTGGAAAATTCTAGCTCCAACGGGGGGAAAACGAGCTTTAAAAAATATTAGTTATAGTGGTCATGTTCGTTTAACAAAATAGTTTGGCAAGAACAAAAATGTAACGGACTACTGAACAATTTTTTGTCAAGAACAGAAAATGTTCATTTAAATACCTTAAATGCCTTCCTACTGGTAACTTATAAGGTGAAAACATATGGGTAGGTTATGCACACACAAAATAAATACAATTGGAAACATTATATTGAGCCGGGTTAAGACGGGCAATACCTGCTAGTCATACATATAAGTACACATACCCCTGTACACCCATATTGTTTTAACATATATACTTGTAATATTG